CACTAAACTCCTCCTCACTCCCCTCATCGCTCATCTCATCACTCGCATTCTCATCAAAGTCGCTCTCCTCACTACTCTCATCTGAAATCGCCAGCTCACTCTCACTAACCTCAAACGCACTCTCCTCTTCCTCGTCGCCATCCCCTTCGTCATCCGACTCGTTGGATAAGAAACTCCAGCCGCCGTCCGCAAAGAACTGGTGCGGATCCGACGTCACCGTCTTCATGATGGTGGCCCAGTTGAGGTTCAAGGGACCCTCGGTAAATGGAATGTCGACAGAGTCGAGCCAGTCTTTGACTGGGTCGAGAGATTCGACGGGGATGGTGTTGATGTGGACAGGGGGCCGATTGTAATCTTTAAACACGACGACCATGTCAAAGTTTCTCAGACCGAATTGCACACGTTCCAAGTGCACGATTTCAATCTCGCTGAGCGTGAGACAGGTGAACGGCGGTTCGGTGAGTTGAACAAGACAGTCGGTCGTGGGCTGGACGAGCACGCTGGACCGACTAGGCACACCGTTGAAACCCAACTCACGGTATGGGATATCAACACTGACGTTCTCGTTCCTCGCCGCATCGGCAATCTTTTCGGCAAAGTTTTTGAATTCCTTGTCGAGAGCGGCACGGCGCCTGCGCTCCTCTTGTTCTTGCTCAAACTCCTCTTCGTCGCCGAATTTGTGGCGGCGCTTGCGGTTGCCCGTCTCGTCGAACTGCATCTCGGTTGCTTCCCGGACAAATTGAACGTCCTTGGTCTTCTTCTTACCGAGCATGATTGGGTTCTTGAGGTGCACGTGGATGATGACGATCAACTCGTGTTGTGAGGGCTGGAAGAAAAGATGCTTCATGTTGCTGAACAGAACATCGATCTTCGCAGTACCGTTGCCGTGGATGTAGCGCAGACCGTTCTGGTGGATCTCGACACTACCGGGGATACGCTTACCGTCGAGCGCTGGGCGGATGAAGATGAGGTCCAGCATGTGCGGCTTGCGGGTCTTGAGCGGGATGAGCTTGTCTTGTTCAACAACGTCCTCCATCTGCTTCTTCTCGGTCTCACGTCGTACGACGTCCTTCTTCAGCTCTGTAATGTCCTTGGTGATTTGGTCGATGCGATCAACGTCGTGTGACTTGAAGGTCAAACTACGGATAAAGTGCGCGTTGGGGTCCTCAAAGGGCTGGTCGTCTTTTCGGCCCACACCTTGACCTGGGGACAAAAAGTTGATGCGGAGTGATGTGAAGTCTGCTTCGGGCGTGTGCGAAGCGTTCTTGATGGTGTGGATGTAGAAGGGTACAGGTCGACCCATGATGGGCAGAAGAACGGTAAGGTTCTTCTTGTCGACTACAATCTCCAAGTTGGCGACTGAGTTGGGGAACTGGTTGTCGCGCTTGTACGACTCAAACTTCTTGAACTTCTTCTCTTCAGTGCCGTTGAGAGACTTTGCGCCTTCGCTGTACTCGGCCAGACCCTGCTCCTGCTTCTTGGCGTGCAGCTCTCTCTGATGTTGTCGCCGTTGCTCCTCCTTCTCCGCATCTTGGTTCGTTGTCCGCTCGTGTCGGGTACGAGTCTTGGTGATGTTTGTCTGTGCAATAGCGGGGCGCTCCTTCTTCACCTTGGGCTTCGCTTCCTCCTCTTCGTCGTCGAAGAAGAACGAGACGGCGTCCAAATCAGAAGTGGTGTCCTTGGTAAAGACTGCGCAGTCAGCTGAGCTAACACGAACAGTGTCTACCAAGACCAGCGAATAGTTCTTGCTCTTCTTGTCTTGGGGTTTGCTGTTCTCCAGATCCGACAGACCAGTCTGAACGACCAGAGTCATGCCGTCCTTTAGAACACGAGTGTTCTTGCCGCTCAAGAGGAGCGAAGAGTCCTTGTTCTCGGTACCGATACCGTAACCAAGGTTCTTGGGGAAGTGCTTCTCCCACTCTGGCTTCTTGGATTTGAGATGTGCCAGGGCCTTGTTGTAGACGTCCTTGGCCACAACACCGTCCTTGATAGATTTGATGACCAAGTCGTGGATCGCCAGAAGCAGCTTGTAGGCAGTCTCCTGTTCCTTGTTGGGTCCTACCATGAATGTTCGGCCGATCATGGCACCGTAAGTCTGGTAGCGCAGGCCGAGGACCGAGATGATGACGCCCGCGTGCAGGTTGTTCTCGTCGGGCTCCGCAGCGAACTTGAGGTCGTACGAGCCACCGCTCTGGATTGTAGGCTGGAGACACCAGTCGAGCTGCATCGAGTCGAATGTCTTGGAGAGCTTCTGTTTCTCAAAGAACTTGGCGTCGTCGATCTTGTTGGAGACCTTGTCGGCGAGGGCGCGGTGTGAAATCTTCTTCTCCGAGTCGAGGATGTCGGACATTTCTTCGACGAAGTAGTTGGACATGAGGGCGCTCGAGGCGCGGGCAGCGTCGCGGATAGTTCGCTGCAGGGTCAGCCAAGCACTATTCTGGTCCGTCGCTCAACTTACCAGCTCCTTCTCGTCCTTGACGGACAAGGCGGCGTTGGACATGATGGAGGCCAGATCGACCTGGTCCTCGTCCTTGAAGCCAGCCTCGTCGAATGCCGCCTTCCACTCGTTTGCGAAAGCGTTGTTGGCATTGTCCTTCTTGAGCACCGCAACCTTCTTGCCGGCCTTTTTCATCGTCTCGAGACATGTCTGGAACTGCCTCTTGTTCTCCTCGGCGTCCTTGCCCCGCACGAGAATCTCAACAGGCACCTTGCCACCCTTGAGCGGCTCGAGGTAGGAGGCTGCATCGCCGTTAGCACCCACATGCCATGTTCAGGCCCGGACAAGCATGTCGGACTCACCCTTCTTCTTGGTTGTGACAATCTGGAGGAGGTCGGGAGTAAGGACGAAGAGCGTGGCAGGGAACTCGTAGCCTAGCAGCCATAGCTATGTCGTCTCGTCAGCTCACTGTCCATCATCACATGCGGATCGGCGCAATCTCACCTGGAATGCCGCTGGCTTCAGGTAGATGCCTGGCTCGCTCGCCTTGCCCACGAGCGTCGCGATTGAGCTTGCGCCCTGGAAAACCTGGTCGCCGGAGCGCTTGTCGGCCTTCCACTTGGTGACGAGGTTGTTGAGGCGCTCGTGGAAGAGCGCCTTGTCGATGACAATGTCGTTGTCCGCCATGTTTGGAGGTGCGCGCAAGAGAACCTCCAGACAAGTCGACTGGGCTGGGAGGGGGGAGGTAGAAGAGAGAAGGCGACGATGGGAAAGTCGCGAAAGGATGATGCGACGCGAGGTACGCGCTCGCGGGCCGTGCGCTCTTTAACTCCACATCGGTGCTAGTGTCTACAATTACCTTGCCTACGTAACACTCTGGGATAGCATCTTGACGTACATCTGAGAATCGTATACACAGCTGTTTAGGCCCGTTTTCTCTTTTGCCCGGCTGTCTTATTTGCTCTTGTCCACCCGGAGCTTGGTCAAAGTCACTCCCACTCACCCTGTGACCATCCCACGCGGCTGCCTTTGCCAACTTCAACCCTCCGACCCTCCAACACCCCGCCCATGCGCCTACAGCTCTCACCCACCTCCCATGCTATGCAATGACGGCCGGCTCCAGTCTCCGCGCTGGAGTCTCTCTCCGAAGCGATGCCTCCAATGACACCTCTCCCCCCGAAGCCCCGCAAGCGCCCAACAAGGCACCAGCGACAGGTGTCCAGGCCGCCGGTATGCGCGCCGTGGCAGCGAGAATGGTTGCCTTTTACTTCCGAGCACCAGTCAAGGCCTTCTTCCGCGGGAGGATAGATTACATGGGCTATGCGAGGGCCATCAATCCACACGTCATGGCGGATGCGAAGTGGTCGTGGAGAATGACTACGCCCGCCGTGCTGGCGCATGCCATACGGACTGAGGGATGGGGCTTCATACCGAAGCAGGTGCTGCCACCTCTAATGGCAAACACATGGTATGTATGACGAGTTCCTGGCCCACGCATATGCTCACAGCGCGCAGTATTGGCGCAGTCCTATATACAGCATACCTCCATAGTCTCTCCGCACTTCACGAACCCTCGTCCTATCAAACCAAGCGCGTCTACCCCCCGCCACCCCCCTCTGTGACCTTCACAGCCGGCTTCATAGGCGGGAGTATCCAATCCATCATCGCCGCCCCCTTTGACGCTCTGCAGACCCGTTTCCGAACGGCCGACATCCTCGACGGCAAGCACAAGACCATGTGGCACTACGCAGGACACAAGCTGCGCTCCATCGGCATCCAAGGCATCTTCGCCGGCTGGTCTCTATCCTTTACCAAAGACGCATTCGGCGCCGCCGTCTTCTTCGGCACCTTTGAGACTGTCAAGAGCCAGGCGTACCTCGAGTTCGTGTCGCGGTACTACGGTAGCCGGACGCGCGATACGCTGCTCGAAAAATCTATCCCGTATCTGCAGGAAGACCACGATGACCGGCCCGTCATCAGACCTCACTATATGCTCGAACCCATGTTCCTCCTCTTGGCTGGCGTCTCTGCGTCAATCACGTCTCAGCTCATCCAACATCCTCTTACCGAAATTCAAGACGTGCACTACCGCCGGCTAGAAGCACTGGATTTCCAGGCCCATCAGGACAACAAGCCTAGTCACATTGTACGACGGTACTACCACGCTTACGAGGAGACGTTTGCCCAGTGCAAGATACTAGCCAAGCGAGCTGGTGGCTGGAGAAAATACTTGTACAGGGATTTCTTCATGAGTACGATTAAACAGGTGCCGAGTACGGCGGCTGGCCTCATTGTGTTTGAGATTGTGAGGAGAAAGTACTCGTTTGAGAATGAGGAGGTTATGATTCTGCATGAAGATGCGAGGATCTTGCTGACATAATACCACTATCCTAAAGCACAAAATCTGATGAGGTGTGTGTGTGTCGAGGTGGCAGAAATGCTTGGCGAAAAAAAAAACTTGCCCCAAAGTCAACCATCACCTCAACGATCGCGACGGCATGGTCGACAGAAGAACAAAAAGAAGAAGCCCGACGTGGGGGTCTAAGAAACATGTTAGGCGTTGAATCGAACGTTGGATGTTTTGGAGCTAACTAACCGAACCCACAACCTTGAGATAACCAATCGTGTCTTGTTAGGACGTGAAAGCTAAGAGTCTCACGCTCTACCGATTGAGCTAGCCGGGCGATGCTGTTGATTGATGGAGCACTGAAGAAATACAGAGAAGAAAGATTGAGGTTTATCCTCGTTCAACGCGTCGAGCGTTAATTTTTGCATATGATACCCGGATATAGACTGCCAAGACTTATAGACTATGCATTTTTTGTACCATGTACCCGGAACGTCGTGTGTATATATATATGTATATAAACAAATCGCACTACACTAGTATAATCTCTTCCAAAGCATGCTCAACCAAGTGCGCACACACTCAACAATCAAACTTCCCACTTCTAAATCTCCATGCCCTCTGTTTGCCTTCCCACTTTCCTCCTTCCCCTTACTGTCTCTCCGCCCCCTCCATCTTCTCTTTCAATCTCGCGCCCACGCCCCACATTTCCAGACCTAGGATCCACCAGACGAAGCTCCGGCCCACATGCCATGACCCGTGGAGGAACTGGTATTGGCGAGTCCTAACAACATGGCTTTGTTAGTTCGAGTTCCTCACCTCATATGGCGGGGAAAGGAGGGACAAAGAGAAAAAGAAAAAGGTTCTTACAAACTCACACGAAACAGAGGAAGATGGACCCGATGATGAGCCAGCACAAGGCGCCGAGGAAATGGGTTTGCGAGGAGGAGGAGAGGATGTTGAATGCGGTAGTTGTTGTTCCGTGGGATGATGCAGAAGACGAAGTGTGATTATTCTCGTCCCCATTACCAGACGATTCAACACTGCGCCAACAACCCAGTCCAACAGTCACGCCAAGTCTCGTCGTCAAACCGTTCTCTGCTGTCAACGTCGACGTGCTTATTTGCGGACACTCTGGGTCCCAGATGATTGGTGAGTTTAGCTGTGGTGCTAGACGTTTTTGAACATGATTAGTTATATACTTCGCGCATGGTGGGGTTCAGATGCTTACCTGTTCCTGTTGGTGCGGGAGGGGGTGTGGGGAGTGGTGCTGTTGCTTGAGGGATGGCGGGGGGAAAGATGAAGGATATGCCTGGAGGTAGGGATGGGATGGGAGATGTTGTGTTTAGGGAGTCGGATTTGGGTTTCGCTGTGGGGTGTGCGGATGTAGTGGACGGAATTGTGGACTTGAGATTCTTGGAGGAAATTGTCGATGTGTCGTTGTCGGGCTGGTCGGCATCGTCGTCGGCTGGAGCGTCGTCGTCGTCGTCCTTGGTCGAAGTGTCTTGGTTCGCGTCGTTAGTAGGTGTGGCTTCCTCGTCTTCTGTGTGTTTCTTCTTCGTGGACGTAGGTTCTTCGTTGGCGTCTGCAGATACGCTCGTAGTCGGTGCGGTATCTTCCTCATCCGTAGACGTAGGCTCCTTGCTTCCACCCCCGTCTCCATCTACCACCTCATCAGCCTCAGCCTCTTCGCCAACCACCATCTCCTCTTCCAGCTCAGCTTCTTCTCCCTTTTCACTACTTCCGTCTTCCACAAGGCCATCTTCGTCCCCGCCACCACCGCCCTGCTGTTTACCCACCAAGTTCGTAGCAACAACTGCACCCTCCGTTCTTTTCACCTCCGTACTGACCCTGGGAGATTTCATAACCCCTCCATCCCCCTCATCATCAATAGCGATATCGAAAAACCCTTTCTTTTCCTGCCCAGCATCCTCAGCCAACCCCCTCCTCCCTATCCTTGCATTAAACCCATCCGTCAACCACTCCCGACCATCTCGACGCCACCACACAAACGGCGATCCAAACCGCCTCACCCCCGCGTTCCTCGACGCCGTCGCAGAAGCCATACCAGAGTTGTATAGCCAAGCAGTCGAAACAGTACCCGTAGTCCCCATCCAGCTATAATCAGACGTATACTGCATACTCCCCTCCCGCGTCGATTCAGCTACACATCTAGCACCACCAGCCTGCTTCATCGCTATGGACGCAGCACCCCGCCTCCCTAACCTCACAGCTCCGTTCGCAGAGGTGGCGGTCATGATGGGATCATGCTCCATACTATCTGCTGTCGATGCGGTGTCCTCGGCGGTCTTGATGTATTCGCTGATGTAGGGGTACCGTGTGTTCATGCTTGATATGGTGAAGACGTCTTGTTTGCTGCTGGTCTGTATTGTGCTGGTAGGAAGGGCGAGGGGTGTGGCTTTTGGCGATGGGGAGAGTTCTGGATCCGCTGAGGTATCTTCGGGCTCCTTGGTCGAGGAGGTTTTGGATTTGGTCTTGGGGGGTTGAAAGGTGCTCGTTTCTGGGTCAGAGACATCAGGGATCATAGATTCCGTTCTCGTGGGAGTGTGTAGTGATAAGGGTGTTTCTAGTGTATCTTCGTCGGATTCGCTTGCGGAGGACTTTGTCCTGGACTTGCTGAGTACTTCGGTTGCTGATGCTGGTATGATGGACTCAGTGTCTGAAGATGTCGCTGGAGTAGACGATCTCCTTCTAGACTTGGATGTCTCTAAACTATCGCTAGTTTCGTCATTATGTGAGCTTTGAGTCTTTGTTGCGGAGGATGTGTCAGAGTCAGTTTCTGAAGCTGATGCCTGGGAAGACGTATGTTTGGACAAATTTGATGTGCTCCTCAACGTTTCCTTAGTAATCGAAACCTTTATCGTCTTTTCCTTTGTCGACGAGGCTGCTTTTGTTGAACCCGCAGTTGCTTTGCTATTTTTCGAGTCATCTGTATCCTCTACTTTCCTGAACTCGAGGCAGAAACTAGCAGCTGCCTCTCCATGAACCGGTATAGCGACCGTTTTCGTAGCATCTAGAACAGCAACATGGAGTTCGCGTGCCTTTGGGGAATCGTCAGGGTCTTGCTCTACTTCGTTTTCGCAGAATTCGTATGCTGTACTGTTGGACATGTACACTGAAATATAACCTTCAGGCGCAAGGTCAACTCTGAGATTATAGATGTTGGTGTTTCGCTTATCGACGGTGTGGAATTCGTAATCCAGGGTCTGATCGTGCTTGGTGGCGTCATTCAAAGATGCGGGTCGATCTTTGCGCGTATTGGAGATGACAGACTCGCCAGTCACAGATACTTGGGAGACCCTGGGCTTCTCTCCGCTTAAGGTTTCGCGCCTGAGGTATGCTGTTGATATAGATGAGGCTGAGCGATAATGCTCACGCTCAGAGACCCGCTCGATGAAAGAACTGGTGGATTCGTTGGAGATCGCACTCTTGATCCTACCGATATCACTATGGTAGCTCGAGTGCAGTCGTCGTACTTCTGTATGATAGAATGTTTTTGTTATCGTCGGTATCGTACGACCCTTGTCCTCGACAGCAGCTGCCAGAGCTAGGTCAAAGGCAAGAGCATATGTGATCGATGACAGGGTCAGTATAGTCGAGAGAAGCTTCATGTTGATGCTGTTTTACGGTGGTTTACAGACAAGACAACCGACTATGCAGGAACAATGACATGAGTATTCTAACTGTAGTGACGATGCATGCTCATTGATCGAGGGAATCCCGGTGACATTCAGCTACTTGGAAGCATAGGGTCATGGAATGAATGACGGAAGATCAATAGAATCTATAAGATTAGCTGTGAAGACAGGGCGTACTTTCGAGGTCCTTGACGATGACGCCATCCGCTTCCCATTCTCTCACGCGCACATCGCATCTCGCCAGTTGGTCAATACCACGACTCTTCACAACGACCGTGGTGTGATTTTCTGTAGCTGCCAGAGTGCAAAAATCATTCACAGTCTTTAAAATAATGATTGATCTCGTGTTTATGCGGCACACCAGACTCTAAACGAAGGAAGACCTTCTATTCCACCACAGTAGAGGTAGAAACAAGAGCTTCATCAGATACGCAAGCTCTACTAAGCAACGACTCCGCTCCATCTAAGCCTCGTCGTGTGGGAGACTGTGTTGTCGTGCTTGCTCTTACCCAAATCTCATGTTACAGCGGCCCTAAGAACAACCATCTCGGATGATATCTACTGAACACCATAAGCCTTGTTTAAAACGTGCAGCGCTTTAGCGTGCGCGTTCAATCGCAACTCGACATGAAGTGACGACTTTCCTAGCTCGCCTAACTACGCGTCACAGTTACGCGTCTACTCCTGACACTACTATGGCTAAGCCCGTCTGGAGTTAGCTCGGCCAATCTCGGAGGCCACGAAAGTAAGCATGTACAAACATGCTCTAGGGATCCAAGTACGTAGTGAGGATTATGAAACACTTACGTACGGTCCTTTGTATAGCACAGGAGGGTCCGCACTATGTAGATAAGCCAAGGGCTACTTATATACCTTGTACTGTGGACCTTCTACCAGGCATCGATTCTGTGGCCTGGCATTACGAACAATGCGTTTCTCTTTATCCACTTTGCTCTTGGCTGTCGTGCCCAAAGTCTTTGGCGACAAGCATTACTTCTTTTCTGGATTCTTCACGGGGAATATGATTGTAGGTGTAGAATTTGATGATTCGACAAATGACCTGACGCTCGTGAACAACATCACTGTAAACGCATCAGAGGGCTCGAAATAAATAGCTATCGATGTACGAGCCCAACTGTTTTCACCAAAACCATCAACAAGCCTAATACCAACAGGAACGCAAAAGGAATGTCTACGTCGCAACGACCGGCCAAATCCAAAGCTACGCCATAAAATCAAACCGCAGCCTCACATCCACCAGCAACATAACCCTCTCCTCCTCCTGTCAGCTACCTATACTCCCTCGCAACAAACCCATCTAACAGTGAAATCCAGGTCAGAATGCAAACTACATAGCCACTACAAACGCTTCTCCCTACACTGTCTTCGGCGTCGCCTACAGCACCGGCTGCGCCGCCCAAGCCCTCGCCGTCGACTCCACCGGCGCTCTCACTGCTGCCACCGCAAATCTGACTTACAACAGCACCTCTGGCGTCCATGGGCTTGACATTAGCCCGGATGCTGCATTCGTGTACTCTGCCGATGATATGGGCAATGCCGTCTGGGCGCATTCGTACGACAGAGAGACGAAGACCGCGCAGACACTGCAGTATCTAGCTGCGCCCGAGGGTGCAAATCCGAGGCATTTAGCTGTACATCCGAATGGGGCCTGGGTGTATGCCATTTACGAAGAGGCGAACTCATTGGCGGTGTACAAGAGAGATAATAAGACAGGATTGTTGACAGACGAGAAAACGACGTATTCGCTGTTGCCGGCTGGTATGTTTATCCTTTTTCCTTGCTGTAAGACTAGAGATTGCACATGTAGTAACGCACCGCTACCCAGGTTTCACAAACACATCCTCCTACTGGGCCGATGAGGTCAAATTCTCCCTCCCCACCTCAAACTCTACCAACACCACCACTTCCTCCCTTACCAATTTCATCACCTCCGCCCAACCGAAATACCTTATAACCGGCACCCGCTCGCGCTCCACCAACGCCACTGGCTATGTCTCGGCCTTCGCCCTCGACGCCTCCACTGGCGCCATAACATCCCAGCTCTTCCTCCTACCCACGACGGCCAGTGGTGGATCCGCGAATGCGGTGTCGCCAGCGCTATTTAGAGAGGAGTATCTTGCTATTACAGATAGTGGGGCAAATTTTGTGGAGGTGTGGAAGATTGAAAGGGAAGGGGTAGGGGCGAGCGCGGTGGCGCGTTTGGGGTTTGAAAGTGGACCGGCGAATGTGGTGTGGATGGACTAGCGGGGTTTGAGGATCGAAGGATAGTTGGGGTACAAGGTAAATCCTCGGGCCCAACGGCTGCTGTAGCAGAATTTCAATAAAATTTACTCTATACAGAACATATATCCTCAAGGCTCAGGAAGTAAAGGCTGAGTCTCCGCAGCGGTATTCTCCCTATCGATTCGTCGGGCTGAGTCGTCTTTGTCAGTACCCAAGCGCCTGATACTGTTGAACACACGTGGAGACAATAGCGCAAGGCTACCGAGAGGAATGGCCAGCCCGTGTACGACCTGAAGTCTTGATTAATTCATCGGTATCATTGTGCCAAGGATTTCACTTACGACGCTAGATATCACGAGAAACCATACTATGACCGCGGTCACTTGAGCCAACGCGATACAGTCCTCCCGTTCTGGATGTTCGAGTTGGATGTGGAGCAAAAAGTCCTGCGTGACATACAGATAGAAAATAGCGCTTATGCCGATTGGGCCAAAGAAGCCCATGATAAGCGCGTGGCGGACGTTGCGGATTTGAGGAATCTGTTTTTGGAGAGTGATTATGACTGGCAGGCGACGAAGGAGAAGAACCAGAATACCGAGCAGAATGAGTCGAGAGCTTGGTATCACGTCCCCAGAAAAGAACTTTTCCCAAGGACATACGGCGCCAAGCCACATGAACACAGCCACGTTGAGGAGGAAGTCCATGATAGGCTGAAGGGAGTCATGCTCTGTCTGCTCGCGAAACCAATCACTAGAATCATGTCAGCCAAGGGCTGTAGATTGGATATGAGGCCCAGAAAAGCTCTTACTCCCAGGTGAAAGTGTTTCCCGCGACGAAGCAGGCCAATACATCGTCCGCATCGATGAGTCCGACAGTACCTATGATCAAGAGCTGTAGAGAGATCAGCGACCGAGTGGTAAATCTCCATCGTGTGGAAAGATTGGCTTACAGCTAGGGCTATGGCAAATAAGTAGAGGCTTTCTTTATCGACGAGGCGTCTTCTGTCTGCCCAGAAGAGCAGATGTTTCGCCGCCCAACCTGCGACAGCGCCATAAACGACGCTTAGCAAGATCGTGTACAAGCAAGTCACGCTCAAAAAGGAGGTCACTGCCGTTCTTGTACCACCTTCCTGACCAGCGAATTTGACCAGATATAGCGGAAGGAAGAGGAAAAGGTAGCCAAGACCGTCATTGGCGCCTGATTCTGCAATGATTATTTTTTGAAGTGGTCTCGACATGTGCTTGTCGGCAAATGTTCCCTTCACAATCGAATTCGAAAGGACAGGATCAGTTGGCGTCACGCAAGCACCGACGATAAGGCTCTGCACCAGACCGAGGTCTGGCACGAGTTGCCATACCAGAAAGCTGGTAATGACCCACATGCCCAGCATTCCGGGACCGAGCAAGATTGCTAGGCTCTGCCATTCTGTTTTGAGATATCTGCTGGGCAGCTGTATTCCAGCTATAACAAGTTGTATTCCCAGCACGAGGCGCGTAAAGCAAAGGGTGACAGTAGCGAGCGCTTCTGGAGAGCTGGCGTATTCGTGTGGGCGGATGAGACGAATACCGTATGGAGATAGGAAAACTCCGGCGCAGAGAGACACGACTAGCCATAGAAGTCAACGTGACAGGAAACTGAGTTCCTGAGGTGTAGGTGCACATACGTGGTTCTGTCACATAAAATCCCTCCTTTAGAAGATATGAAACCAAACCGAAGAGAGCGATGAAGCCGCCGCCGACGCAGCAAACCAAGTTGAAATTTAGTATAGGATCAATGCTCTTGTTGACCATGTCGTCCTAGGGGAAGGCTAGGCTGCCAACGTATATTGCTTGTTGTCCTGCAGAGCTTCCGAGGCGCGATTTGTTTGCTTGAGCCGAGCAGAAGTTTTAGACCACGCTGCATCAAAGTCGTGTCTATCTGAGTGAAGGGCTTGTCAAGGCGAGACAGAGGGGGTGTGCGAGTGTGGGCTGCACAAGCTTTTTTGACTGTGTTCATGCAACAATTGCGAGGACTGAGCTCACCATCTGGTACAAGGTTGTCCGCGAGCTTACCTAGCAGCAGCGTGAAGCAGCTGCTGTAAAGCGTCGAGAGGGAAGAACAGGGGACTACATATGCCGCTCGTCAACAGATGGACTGCATCCTCAGCGGCGTGGGTCATCGGCTGTTGGTAAGCCGACGCGTGATGAGAGCACGAGCCTCGGCCAGGTCATGCACTACGCTTATCGTGGTTATTAGTCTAGTCTGGGGGATTGGTAACGTGCCCGTGCTCCTATCAACGCTAACTAGCTGTCACGGGGTTAACCTCCCCCGCTACAAAGTTGAGTAGGTTTAAGAGGCAGCGGGGGTTAGGGTAGCTCCTCATCGACTGCGCAGGGACCATATGTCTTTACTTAGTCAGCTAGCTCGGTGGATCCTGCAGCGGAACCCGAATATCGGCAGCCACCTACCTAGGTCCTTTTCAGCGCTTCACAAGACAGCTGCGCACACAACCACACGAAAGATGCGCCGCGATACGGGATGAGATGTCTTGCGTACCTGTATGACAAGTCATCTTCTCGATCAGTATGTTGCTATACGCTGATGCCGCGTGCGTGATGGCTTCAGAATCGCAACGATAGACCCCTCAATCCACTCCGAAGCAAGTGCCGAGATGGCTACCTGCTGCGATACACGGTGATACATGATACATGACACCACTATGCTTCCGCGACTCTTCTCCTCGTCACCTCGTCTTCTTCCCCATAGAATTCCATCATCCCACGTCTCTACACGCACCATGGCCTCACTACCCATCAAGCTCGCCGTCCTCGATGACTACCATAACATAGCAGCTTCGCACTTCACCCACATCGATCCCTCCAAAGTCGACCTCACCGTCTTCAACGACACCTTACCCTCCTACTCACACCCCGGAACTTCCGATGCCGACCGCAAAGCCCTCGTCAACCGCCTCGAGCCCTTCTCCGCCTTGTCAACCATGCGCGAACGCACTCCCTTCCCAGGCGAACTGCTCCGTCAATTACCAAACCTCAAAGTCATATTCGCTACGGGCGGCAAGTTTGAAAGCTGGGATCTGGATACGATGAAGGACATGGGTATCACGGTATGCGCAGCGCCCGGCAAAGGCAGAACGGATGGCAAAGGCAGTGGCACGTCTCCGAGATCTTTGCCTATCAAGCAGGGCGGTGGACACCCGACAACGCAGCATGTTTGGGCGCTCATATTGGGCCTTGCGCGGAATATCGCTGCAGATGACGCCGTGGTCAAGGGGAAAGGTGGGCCAGCGGGGTGGCAGACTGAACTCGCCATGGGCTTGCAGGGAAAGACGCTAGGTTTGGTTGGTCTTGGCAGAATTGGCGCGCATGTTGCGAGAGTGGGTGTCCTTGCTTTTGGCATGAAGATCGTGTGTTGGAGCGCAAACTTGACGCAGGACAAGGCTGATGAGTTGGCGGACGAGTGTGGCTTACCGGTGACGGGTGGAGGTATCGCCAGCGAGGAGGACAAGACGTTCAGGGTAGTTACCAAAGAGCAGCTTTTCAGGTCCGCCGACGTGGTGAGCGTGCACTATGTTCTTAGCGAGCGCTCGAGGGGTATTGTTGGCGCACGGGAGCTGGAATGGATGAAACCGACTGGACTTCTGATCAACACTTCTCGTGGACCGCTCGTGGAAGAGGCTGCGTTGCTGGAAACGCTCCGGCAAGGACGCATACGTGGCGCTGCGCTCGACGTGTTTGATATCGAACCTCTTCCTGCTGATAGCCCGTGGCGGAGCGAGGACTGGGATGTCAAGGGCAAGAGCAGGGTGTTGCTGACGCCGCACATGGGATATGTTGAAGAAGGTACCTTGACGACGTGGTATGAAGAGACGGCAGAGAACCTGGAGAGATTGATCGAGGGCAAAGAACTATTGCATCGGATCATCTGATGCTGATGCAGATAGGCTGACGTCCAAGTCGTATCTAGGGTTTAGAATGGGCACGCGCATTTAATCTGTCCACTGACCCTCGTTCTCCACTTCGTGGACTATCCCATCCTCTCATTTCTATTTGTTATACCCCTCATCTATCCCCTTAGCTGACGAGCGGGATCGGAAGATGTTGATTGAGGGCAGAGAATTATTGTGTCGAACCAGTCAATGCTTACGATATATCTAAATGGCTAAGCCGAATTTTGGTTTCAGATACCACCCATACTGTACAGGTGTTGGAGTGTATGAACACACTATCACGAGGATGCCGAGGCATCTTCTTAGCACAGTTAAGAGAAGATGGATTTACAGGTGTTGTACAGTTGTACTCTGGTAACTAAAAGAGTGTGATCGTGCCTCTATCGGCTGCTAATGTACAATATGCCGACTGCCGCCCCACCCCACAAGACTTGTTGTCTAGTAACCCTGACGATCGGATAGACGGGTTCTGGAGTCTTGGGAGCAGGCACTGAAACAATAGTGCAAGTGCTAGAACAATGGGTCGAAGAGCCGGTATTGTGAGTATGGGCGTTCGATGTGTACGGACTAGGGCTGGAAACGTATAACCATGGGGGGATGCTTCACCGACACCGCTGTGTGCGCCATCTCCGCCATCGTCGTCGTTCGAAACGTGTTCTCGTTTAAGTCACGGTACCTCCAAGGCGAATCTCGTCCGCTTTGGGTATGACATGCGGCGTATACGATGTGTCTTTTGCTGGTACAATATTTATATCAGGTATGTTTAACCGTTCCGATAGGACTGGAATAAGATCTCCCATCGGAGGGCATACGTAAGGGAGAGGTGAGCCACCTGCGCAACGGCTTTGTAGGTAGTATTCTGTGCGACGTGGGGCAGTGATTTTGTTGATTTGTGTTGGTTCTGTCATTGTAGCTTTGTCGTGAACTGGTGTGGAATTGGCATTGACCTAGGCCGGCTCTGTCATTGAAGCATAAGTCTTCAGACCCTTGGCAGATATGGATGCGGGGAGCCTACCATGTCAATGCGACGCTACGTGTCAAGCTGCGCGAGGCCGTTGTATCCCTCTGGAGGATACTCGGCGGATCAGAGGGAAGCAGAACTTCAGACGTCGCTGTCCACGGTTGTGGCAAACAGGATAGGATCTCCCATCGGAGGGGATATGTTGAGGACTGCACGTCCGGGTCTAGTGGGTAGAGCGAACTGTGAAAAGCTACACCGAACATGTCAACAAACAAGAATAACACTGAGGCTAAGTCTTCTAGAAAATACCCAAAGTGAACCAATTTTTGGACAAGGCGATAGAACAGTATGTGTGATAGCATGAATTTCTGACGCGAGACAGTGTCTGCGCCTTTATCGGTGTCATATATTGTGAGAAACATTATTCTCCAGGCCGTGCGAATCGCATCTTCGCTCTGCTCGTTGTCCGATAGCTGGAAATTCCATCCGGCTATGGCGGTTTTGAAATCCGCTGTTGTGATGTCGTCTCGTAATGAAGGTTGCGTCTGGGCAGCTTGGCCTGGTGGAGGGGCGATTTCACCGTCGATGGGCGAGATGTCAGGGGTGGGTAACATCGTCTCTTTCGCCCGTTTGCTTGGGCTTCCGGAGACGGAACTCGCTGATACGATTCTCTTTGCTGGTGATGCGTTTGACATTTCGTATTATGCGTGTGATGCGGTGTTAAGTGATTGACAGTGAAGTGTAGTTCTGTATTGGGTTCGAGTTCGACACGTGAGCAATCTGGTATAATGGTGAAAGTATCGTGGAGAGACGTGGGTGGTAGGAACATCAACATGACAAAACAATGCCGTTCGAAGAGAGAAAGTACACTCAGCAGCAGAAGTGAGTGCCTTTTGGAGTATAAGAGTGATGCATTGAATGCTATGGAGGACTTGGTTATGTAGGCAAGACGCTAGAGGTTGTGGCAGGTACCAATAACAACATGAGACGGCTCTTTCTTCAGTGCCCACCCACCACTTCCGCGCCCAAGGTCAATAATACCACACATTCTAAAGTTGGGCAGGCGTGAATTCTTCAAATGTCTTGCACGAGTTTCCGGCCTGACCAGCCCACTTGAGGACGATTTCAGCCACCCTGGGGTAGATGAAGTCATTCATCACTGAGCCCTGCCACCTCGACTGGTTATCGCTCATTGACCTTACAGCCTACATGTGCTCGCCGGACTGCGTGACCTGATTGCTAACACCTTTCAAAAGACTAAAGATGTCTTTGAGAGTGATCTCGTGTTGGATGATGTACACCAATTTTGCGGCACATAAAAGGCCAGACACTTCGATTGTGATGGACTGGTCTGCTGGCACGAGATCAAGGTATGGTCGAAGCCAACCGGCTTCATTCGCCCACAAGGACGTGTTGTCAGCTTGGTCGGTCGGCTTCTTCTCGGGGCTCTTCATGTCGTATCCGGTCGCGCGACCGCGGATCCGCTTGGCGGTCTTGGCCGGCTTGGTGATCCTGCCACTGAGGACTCGGTCGGAGGAGTCCTCGAGATCATCGTTAACCTGGCGCCCAGCTTCGTTCTGAGGTTCTGGGGAGCATGTTGATCTCTCACCTGCTTGACAGTCTCAGGGATCACGGATCTTGTGGGAGGAGCCATTTTGTTGTTGGTAGTGTTTGGTAGCTGTGGGCATATAGTGATCTGGTGGTAGTTGGATTTGGTGGTGTCATTGTGGTTTGCGCGCAAGCGGTATGAATTTTCGCTTCGTGTCTTTCAAGATTTGGTTGAAAGCGAGTCGAGTGTTTGTGAAAGATGCAATGTCGGGATGCATGAACCGTTACATATATACGTTTTTATTATAAACTGATACCGGATTTACAGTCTTGGTGAGTCATAAATTGGCAGGGGGTACACACTGTCCCGTGGTACTGCGATGACGCAAAGCAGATGAGTCGCACACGGATCCCATTCTAATGGCCGACGAGCCACTCATGCATTACCATCGTTGGGATCGTCCAATATTTTTTCAAAATGTATCGGCGAGAACATCGATGCACCTCAACTATTCCTATATACAATGTCGCCGGATAGCACATCGATGCCCTTCTATTTGATTATAGCGGCTCCGCTAATTGACACAAGTATATGCTTCGTATTGGTCAGCATTTTGACCTTCCAGCACTGCATGTTGTGGGTATGGGCAAAGTCTCCTTGTCCTGTTACTTCCATCTGAAGGCTCCGTAGCCAGAACGTACTCAGGGGCTATACCATCCTCTACCCATGGGATGAGTGCTTCGAGAGAGTGGTACTTTCCAGGAACCTGAGGATAAGTTGTAGCGGGCCCGCAATGACCACCACCCGGGACCATGAACAAGCGCCAGAAATCATTGAGCTGTGCCTCGCCATAGATAGCTTTCGCTTCGTTGTGCTGATCGATAGGCCAAGTAGGCGCGTTGAAAGGGTCAGCCCAGCCTATCCACGTATGTCAGTGATTTCGTGCTCGCGTGAATCCGGTGGACGACAAACCTTGGGATGCAATAAGTTTTCCACCTCGAGCTCTGAACGCATCGAGTCTTGGAGATATTGCAGTGATTAAAGGACCTGCAACCTTGTCTACAATCTCGACGTCGTTCTCAAAGTCGAAAGTGGTGTAATCATAGCTCAAGTTCTTGAAGACAAGGTTCTGCAATATAGGTACTGCATACGCGGTGTAGAGGCTTTCTTCCTGCATAAGCCATTCGGATTCCGATCCCTTTGCAAACCCGGGGTATACATCCGGCCCGGGTCCAGTGTAGAACGCCTCAAAAGTGGCAAGCTGCGTCTCGTTCAGACATGTCGTCGTATTATTCTCAAATTGGGGCTGCCCAGACCGGCACAGTAATGATGTAATTTCAAAGTCGCACTTGCTTGGGTCGTCGATCACTCCGTCTTTCACGCCATCGATGTTGTCACACTTCTCCAGTGCTGCATTTCTTGCAAATGTGAGTAGGTCCTGGGCCAGAAATGCACCAGACTTCTGTGCATGAAGGCCGTTCCACAGAAAAGAAAGGATGAGGTGGGTGTACCAGTTGCCAGCGCATCCTGCAACAATACCATCGAAGAGATCGGGATGGTACTGGGCCAGTGCATACCCTTGAGCACCACCTGTGGAACAGCCTGAGAAATAAGATTTTCGTGGCGGATATTGGAAGAAAGTCGCTGTGATGGTTTTTGCTGGTCTAGTGAACATCGCAATCGAATCCCGGATCCACGCTGTGGTCTGGGCATATGAGTGAAGGAATGGAACATAGCCTCCTGGCTTGGTAGGGCCGTTCTCGGACACCAAATGTCCGGAGTCACACCTTGAAGCATATCAGTCAGCTCAACATGACAAGATGCAGAGGGGGCAAAAACAAACCCTCCGACAGCGAAGCCAGAGTTGAGATTCGTGGCCATTGCCTGGTAATCTATCACGCCTGCAAGTCCGCCATTGCCTACATGTTGATGTCAGCAACCACGAGATACAGGCACTGATCTGACTAATTCAATACGTACCGACAGACAAATAGCGCCCATTGTAATTTTCGTGTTCGGGTAGCCAGACTTCAAAATTTAGCGTGTTATTTGGACCGTATGGCATGAGTCCAATAACGCGGCAAAAGGAAGCTGTGTTCGTCTCCGTGATATTTTGAGCAGCTACAGCTGAAATTTCTGCAATTCCGCCAACGTTTACACGACTGGAGCTGACAACGTAGTCCGCACTTTGTCGTAATGAAGTACAACTGTCATGGTCCACAGGGCTAGCAAGTGCTGCCGCAAATAACGCGGCATACGTGAGCTGCGTGTAAGCAAAGTGCAACATGGCAGAGACTTCAGGATCGTCAGAAGGAGTGGACCGCTTGTTTGTGATAACATCCAAAGTATTTGTACTTTACGGTGCGTGACTCTCGGCCCGATCGTAACTTCCGTAGAATGTCAACCCCGCAAACCACTCCGCATCGTGAGCCGTCCACCATGACCAAACCCACGCTCGGTAGATTCTGCAAATGCATTGCAGTGAACTACTGACTCGTAAAGGAAGCTTTCGGGGATCGCCACCGACGCTTGTGCGTGGATCGGGCGGGCTGACCGACGTGGAGAGAAGACAATCGGCGACGGGCGACCGAGCCCGAGTAGGAGCTAGACTAGATTGGGTGCATGTCTCATGCTCGGCTGATAGCTTCCGGTACAACAGAGACCCGACTTCTGCCTGCAGAATGCTTGTTGATTCTCATTCTAGACAGTCAAGGTGCCATAACTAAATCTTGCATATCATATTTGTGTACTGCGACAACCATGTCCCGATAATTGGCTCCATCTTAGCACTTTACATCGTTCTTCGAAAGCTCTTCTTCTTCTGCGTTGTAGGTCTACGGGCCACACTCTTCTTACCAGATTTCTGGGTGCTCACCTCTCGAGGCAGCGGCTCACAAGTGCTCTCCAAAGCATCGAGCATTTCAGGCTTCAGCACCCACTCACCCGATTCCTTGTCTTGCACATAAGGCTCTTGTAGAATCCATTCACGCCACTTCCTCAGAACCTTGACTACGTGCGCCTGTCCCGCGTCAAACCACTCTTTGTGCATTGTTCCACAGCCCTCACATTGTCTTCTTTTCCTGTACTCCTTCAGCTCAGCGTGTACGAGCTGCTCTACGCGATGCGCATGTGGTATCTCGACCTGGCACTCCGTACTAGAGTGGTATATATGCTCGCGACCGCATTGTTGGTTCCAGCTCTCAAGCCGTTGAGTAAGATCTTTGGTGTAACCAATCTTGACCATGCCAAAATACTCCTTGTCCCAGAAAAGGTATACGAAACCCCGCTTCTGGGCTATCACTCCCAGCGGAGCAGTAGCTTTCTGGTAAACGGCATCGAAGACTGAGGTCTTCTTAGACCTTTCCGATTGATAGGGTATAAAGCTTGATGAGGATGAGGCTTGAATCGCAGTAGCCGGAGTGGGCACTCCAAGCTTGGGCTTTGTGACCGGCTTGGGCTCTGTGGCAGATTCGGGCTGTCTAATCGGCTTGGGAACGATCACAGTTGCGTAGAGCCAAGAGATATGGCCTATAGACGCATGCGAGTCGGAAATTGTATCGAGCCACTGCATGAGTATGTGATTCTGGTCTTTTCCGATTTCTCCAAGGTTTGTGAACATCCTATCCAATTCCATAAGTTTCGACTTAGCGTTGGGTTTTCTCTTGTTCTCTGGTTGTCCTAATGCGGTATTGCGGTGCACAACGCACATGACTGATATGACGAGCTGCTTAATAAGATCAAGCATATCACGGTAACGCTCTTGGCTCTTGGCTCTTGCCAATTTCTGGATGATGATGCGTACCTCTTCGAGTACGTTGCCATGTTTCAAACGGGACTTGCATCGATCGGATGAGTCCTTTACCAAAGATCCGGAACACCTTCCTGAATCTTGGGCAAGTCTTGCATGAAGATCTAGAGGTACAATATGTTCTAATAGCGTTCGGAGTTCGACTTGTGACGGTGTGGGGTCAGGGTGCCGAGAGTCTTCGATGTGGGTCTTTCCCCCGTTGAATGCGGCATGTATGGCTGATGTTACTGGTGTTTTCTTGGCAGTCTTAGATCGCGTGCGGGAGCTAACAGCGGCGTTGTCATCGAAATTAAACGAGGGATCGAAGTCGTATTTCACGCGAGCACCCGCGACGCTCTTCTCAGAGACTGTGATGAATAGGTCAGATGCTGTGCATTCAAATTCAAGAATGATATATGCGTACTTGCTTCAAGCTCAAACGTGAAACCTCGAAATAACTTTGGTTGGAAGAAAGGGTCGTCTGGTAGTGTTACATCCTTCTTTTCGAGAAGAGGCTGCTTCGCCGCTGAAGCAATTGAAGAACCGAAAGAAGGTTGGGGAATCGGTGTGAAGAGCAATTTCTTGGAAGATCCGAAAGTTGTAGGCGGTGTCAAGGGCGTCAGGATGCTGCGTGAAGAGGCTTCATCTGACGGACCAGAGGGCGTCTTCGGCGAATCCCAAAGGAAATCGGCGCTCGCCAGAGACGATGCAGTAGAGACTGTCGACACCGGAGACAACCATGAGAGGTTTCTTGAGTCTAGCCAAGAAGACAGGTTATCATGTCCATCCTCTTTCGAGGTAGATTGTGATAAGAAACTACTGCATGGCTGGCGATCGGCGATTCTCTTACGAGGCGTGATGTATTTCCTCTGGAGTATCCGTTGAGCGTCATTTTGTATGCACGTCTCCTGAAAAATGGAAGTCATAATGATAGCTCTAGTAGAAAGCTTGTTGATGTGATGGTAGTGATGAGAGAAAAGAGGAGATGGATGTATTGACGATGCTAGCACAAGCTATTTGCATGACACTTTATATTATCGGCCCTACCAAGAAAAGTAGCTCAATTGAGACTGCACCAGAACCGCAGAAATGCTGCCATATCTGCCTCAGACATTGCGATCGCATGATGTTGTAAACGCAAAGGCTCTACAGCAGTCCAACCGCGAAGCCACACTACCGCTACGGGCAGGTGACCTCGTCTCCAAAACATGTAGGAACAGACCAAGGCTAAGATGGATGCCTATCCCTAGGGTTTGAAGGTTTTGGATCGGTGGTGGTTGCATGACCCGTGCCGCAGAGCCGCAGGTGGCTGCCTTGCTCAGCCTACTTGAATCCCTGGACGTAGAGGCTCATTAGTGTCGATGCCCATGAATCGAATTGAACCATCAGCACACCCCCTCGGCGTTCTGACACTTGATGGGAAAGAGTCCGAAATCTGTGGCTGTAATGACGGAACATGAATCTACCATGTGCCTGGAAGGTAGCGATCTGTGATAGCTTGGGATTTTGGCCCCATACGGAAACAAAGCTTCGAAACCTTTGGCGTAGTACTCCGTCATGTAAACTGTAATTCTGGCAGCACGCACGCGCCACCGTAAGCGCGTCTTGTGTGAGATGCCTTCCTGTCATTTGCCGTTTTCTACTCAGAACGTGGGGTTTGAAACAAACGTCTTGATCTTGAAGCGGGCCGTGCTGGAATACGCGCCGCCGGCCATGGAAGCGTGGAGAGTGGGTCAGTCCGCCCCGCGCGGGTCAGCGGCTCAGCGGGCGCTGCTGCGCGTCGGCTCTATACCCCCGAAACGCCGGTCACCACGCGTACAAACCCATTCCTTTTGTATGAATCTTCTTGCGTTTGCGTTCAAATCCTGACAGATGCGACGACATGGATTTGGATGTGAGTGGGTCTTGGGTACTTGCCGCTAGTTCCGTGAAGCGAAGGAGAAGATATCTCGCTTAGATAGCTTATGGTCAAAAGTCGCGTTTGCGAAGGCAGTAATCTGATCAGCGATAGGACAACGCGTCGACAAGACTGTTGACAACCCTTATCAAATGGGCACTCTCTTTCCTTGATCATGCAGCGACGGCCAGTGCCCTGGACATCATTACAAAACCTTAGCTGACACACGAAGTTTATCTCTCCTGAGCTCTTTTGGCTGCATGGCCGTTCGTGCAGGAGATCCGTGTGCTGCTATGCGGCGCAGCAACGTTACTGCGGCAAGCCAACACTGCTCTCTACGGATCCTGACGCGAGAACACCATAAAACTAGTAGTGGCTACGCGCTCTCGTTCTAAGCATATCGACTTATTTTCTTCCCTGATCCCGAATTCACAACCACTCAGGCAAAGTGCCTTTTCTGTTGCTCATGGCTCGCCGAGGTTCACTTGCTTCAAGTCTGACTGATCAAACGGCTGCTTCTGTACGCAGACAAAACGCAGGCAAGAGACTAAGTGAACCCTTTCGAACACCAGAGACATCATCAACTTCGAGCTCAAGATCGCCCTCAACGCCAGGTTCTACGCTACGAACCCCGATCTTGATAGACTCGGACGACGAGAAGGACAGCACACCTACACAACAGAAAAAACCCAGCACTCGGTCTTCACAGGAGAACTCATCAACGAGCTCGACATTGGCACTACTGGAAATTCCAGTTCGTGCTAAGCATTTGACGACTGTGAGCGCCAAGGAAGATGCCCAGGATATCAAAATCAGCGAAGAAATAACGAGCGACGCGCAAGACACCAGCAACTACCCACAGCTGATACACGCTAAACTGGGCAAAATCGTTTGTGAGACGCTCCTCAAATCTGAAGGGGAGGGCTTTCTATACGTCTTCCGAGATCCAAAGCATAAGGGTGCAGTGAAGATCGGATACACAAGGGATATCAATAGACGCACAAAAGAACATGGAAAATGCGACTTGGAGCTGATCTTCGTTCATATCTCAGGGCGGGTCAAGGCAATGAAACGGGCAGAGCAGCTTATCAAAGCCGATTTGAGGCACTTGCGTAGGCCGTGGGATTGCCCTGCTTGCAAACGTACTCATGAAGAATGGTTCGAGATCGACGAAGAGACTGCCAAAGCAAGAGTCAC